AATTCCTTTCTTCCTCCAGGTCCCAACTTATGTGTACAAGTGCAAGAGATTTCCTTAGCCTCATCTCCCAGACTCCAAGCAGCTAGAGAAGCAATGCTTCCCCCGTCCCCCCCGCCCCCCCCGCCCCAAGGACAGCAAGCCTGGATCTTCCCATTCTAAGGCAGCCCACTTACCATGGAGGATCCGGTACCATACACGCCCGAACTCGCCCTCATCTGCATCCGTAGCTTTCAGCTGAGGGAGACGGAGATGCTCCAATTATTCCCAATCCCCCCTCACCCTGGCTTGCCCAAACCTGTGCTTTCCTATAGAGGCTGGCTGGGAAGTGAGCAGGTTAGGGCTCTGCCCCTGCCCTACCTCCAGGTTCTTAGGGGATCAGGGAATAGGGAGCAGGTGAATGATGGCACCCTAATTTTCTGGATCCAGACTGGAAGAGATCATTTCACACCTCTGCGATTTCCTACTCATGATTCTTTGGAGATCATGGGCGCCTCACTAGGGAGGCTGGGTTCCCCAAGGCTTCCTGCCCACTCTTATATTCCCTTAAGCCCTTTGTGCCACACTGGATTCATTTCATGGTTTTTGTTTTTTGTTCTTTTTTTGGTGTATGCCAGCCCTAGGGCTTGAACTCAGGGTCTGGGCATTGTCCCTGAGCTTCTTTTGCTCAGGGCTAGAGTTCTATCACTTGAACAACAGCTCCAGAAGCTAGGATTACAGGTGTAAGTCACCAGCACTGACTAGTTCAGGTTCTTAGAAACTGCTTTTACAAAACACACACACACTCTCTCTCTCTCTCTCTCTCACACACACACACACACACATTCACATACACAGATACACAAACAAAAACCCAAAACAAAAAAAAACACCAGCTTCTTACATGAACCCACACTAAAAGCAAGATAAACCCCTAGCATTCCTTCCTTTATTTGGTATGTGTCCTTGGTTTTAAAGCTTTGAGTAATTCTCCCTTAACTCTGACTAAAAACCAATCTAAAACCAGACTAAAAACCAGTGGTACCTGACCTACCTCATTCCTCAAAAAGATTAAAAAAAGAGCCAGGTGCCAATGGTTCACATCTGTAATCCTACTCAGGAAGCTGAGATCTCAGGATCATGGTTTCAAGCCAGTTTGGGCAGGTAAATCTCTGAGACTCTTATCTCCAACATATACTCAAAAGCCAGAAGTAGAGCTGATCACTAGCCTTGAGCACAGAAGCTCAGGGATGGGCTGGGAAGGTGGCTCAGTGGTAGAATGCTTGCCTTGCATGCATGAGGCCCTGGGTTCGATTTTTCAGCACCATATAAACAGAAAAAGCTGCAAGTGGTGTTGTGGCGCTAGCCTTGAGCTGAAGAGCAGAGGGACAGTGCCCAGGCCCAATGACCAACAACAACAACAAAAGAAGCTCAGGGACAACATATAGGCACTAAGTTCAAGGCTTAGGACTGCTGCATGTGTGTGTGTGCGCGTGTGCGTGCGTGAGCACACACACACACACACACACACACACACACATGCAGCAGGGAAGAGCTCAAATCCAATCACTGGGTCTCTAATTGAGGTGACTCCAGGCACAGGTCTCAGACACAGCCATGACTCCTTCCCATGCTGTTTTCTGGGAGCTAGGAGACCCCTGGAGGGTTGCCAGGGAAGTTTTGGCTTCTGGGAAGAGAGGAGGTGCAGAAGAGGGGGGAAGGGAGTGTGTGTGTGTGTGTGTGTGTGTGTGTGTGTGTGCCACTCAACCTGCAAGCAGCATGGTCCTGGCTGTCCCTCAGTCCTCAGATTTTGTAGGGAAAACACTCTTCTAAGCCTGGAAGGCCAGGGCCCAGGGAGGGGCCTTGGGGACCGCCAGGGCCATCACTCTGCCTGTTCCCTCCCACTGCCTCTCTGTGTGTAGCCCCTCTCCCGGGTAACCTGGGGGCTGGCAGACATTGAATAGCAACTTGCTGGCTGCCCTGGCCATCCTGACCATACCATTCAAACTTCCAAGGGGGAAGATGAGAGTCACTACCTCCCTGGGAGAGCTCCTCCAGGGAGATGGACTGGAGCAAGGTGGAGGGCTCCCCTTTTCTCTCCACCAGTTGCCATCCCTACCCTCCTAGCTGCCCCCTCCCCCGAGGCAGGCTCTGATTCTCCCAATGCCCAGCAGTGAGCAAGGGAGGGGCCCACTCTGTGGACCTGGCTGGCTGAAGGCACGGGGCACTGCAGAGCCCAGGGTAGGCTTGGTTGCCGGCTGCCTGGTCTTCCCTGTCCCTCCTTGGACAACTGAGACTTCCCTGCTGTGCTCCGGTCTGGCCCTGAGGTCAGTGTGGGGGACTGAAGAGAGAATCTGGTGAGGAAAGTGTGGGGGAGGACCCACTGGGGGCTTGGGAATGACAGGAGGTTGTGTTTGGTGGTCCCTCTGGTCTGCAGAGAGTGGCAACCAGCCAGTGGGGGGCAGTGACCAGGCCGTGGACACACATTAAGCTTCTCTGCTCTCCTAGGCCCTGTTCTATGGAACTCTAAGGGAAACAAGAATGTTCTAGATGGAGCTTGCAGCTATGCATCCAGAACAGGGAGGAAGATTCTTCCCCTGCTTTCAAGATTATTTCCAGCTTGGTCTTAAGGAGCTGCTTTCCTGGGACCCAGCAGCCCTTGTTGCGGGGATAGGTCAGCTAGACCTGCCTTGAGCTCTAGGGAAGGTGACTGGTTCTGACAAGCACTTTGGAGCTCCAGGCTGCCACAGGGACTGCTCAGGTGCAATCATAGCCCCACCAATGTTCTTCCTGAAGTAAGTCTCAAGGCCTGCAGACAGGAGCCTCTCTGCCAGCCTGTGGCTTTTCCAGCCCATTTTCAGGCCCTGAAGTAGCATCAGAACTAGTAAGGTACAGTGTTTCCCAACTCAGACAGCCCTTTCTTACTCAGGTCAAACCCTGCCCAAGGAGGCCAGAGGGAGGCTGCTCTTCTTCCCTTGGGAGCTGGCCATGGGCCACACCCCATCCCTCCTCCAGGAAGGGCTGACATGTAGGCTGCCCAGCCAGAGTGTGCTCTGGCCTGGAAGGCGGAGGCCCTGGGCAGCTAGACGGGCATCAGAGTTTCCAGCCACAAGTGGAGAGGCGTCATTTTCTGTCTGGAAGGGCTGGGAGGGGTGGTAGTTAGGGAGGGATGGCAGGTGGTGGGAAGCTCGGGATGCTCACAGTTGACTGGGCACAGAAGCCGGGAGTTAGGTCGTACAACTGCTGGTGAGTGTCAGGGTGGGACAGGGGTTCTTGGGGTAATGGATCACCCCTACTCTCCATCACCTGCTGGCAGGGTTCACCACAGCTATATGCACAGTAGTGGCATGACTAAGCCTCTTGTGATGGGCTTTGGAGGTAAAAACTTGACTCCTGAACCAAGGCAAGAGCACACTGCAGGTCAGGTAGGCAGAACTGCTCCTCCCAGCCCTGTCCCCAACCAGTCTCACTCTTGGAGAGACTTTAAAGTCAAAGAGAGAAAGTTTTCTTTTTTGTGATATTGGGATTTGAATCAGGGCCTTATACATGATAAGCCCTACCACTGATGCCCCAGGCATCAGGATAGGTTTAAGTTTCCTGTCCTCAGTTTGTAAAATTCAAAGATTACAGGTGCTGGATGGAGACTGTGGTGGGGTGTGTGTGTGTGTGTGTGTGTGTGTGTTTGTGCACGCGCATACACACACGTGCACACATGCAATACTGGGCTTAATGTGTTTTGTTTTGAAATATTTGAAAATTCATTTCAAAATTTTTAGAATGATGTCTGTATGGTCTTTGCAGGACTTGCCTCCTTTTCTTTCTTGCCTTAAATAAATCTGAATTGGATATTGATATTTAAACATCAGGAATGTTTGCCTTAAAAAAAAAATGAGCCCAGGTTTCTCGATTCTCTTGGGATGCTAGATGAGCCAGCACCTGGAGCCTGCATGGCAGTACTGGGACTGTCAGCCTAGGCTGCCCAGGGAGCTGCCCAGCTGTCTTCTTGGATGGCTCATTACCTGGCAGCCAAGCCCAGGTGTCAATCATCTGCCACCTCCATCTGCTCCACCAAAAGCTCACCCTGGTTTTCCACCTTTGGGGACCAGCTGCTAGACTCTGTAAACTGGAATGAGTTGGTTTTTTTTTTTTTGGCTCAAGGCTGGTGCTCTTCTACTTGAGCCATACCTTCACTTCTGATTTTTTTTATTGGTTAACTGGAGATAAGAGTCACCTTTCCAGGCTGGCTTTGAATTGTGACTCTCAGATTTCAGCCTACAGAGTAGTTAGGATGACAAGTGTGAGCCATTTGTGCTCAGCTTGGGATGATCTTTCATGGTAACGGAAATGCCTTCAGGAAAGTGATGTCCAACCCTGCCTGCCAATTCCTTATGGGCTTCTTTTTAAAAAAATACGTTTTTTATTGTGAAAATACTATACAGAGGGGTTACAGTTACTTGAGCAAGGTAATGAGTACATTTCTTATCAAGCATTGTTGCCTCCTCCTTTGTTTTTCCCCTTCCATCTCTTCCCTCCCACCTCATTAACTACACTTCCTCCCCCCCCACCCCCCCTCCCCCGGGCTTATTTCTTATCTGTCCTTGGAATGGGAAGTATGGAGCTAAAAACTGGAATCAGGAAATCTGGTTCTGATATTTGCTTGGCCACTAGCTCATAATATAGCCTTGGGCTTGGCCTTCCCCTGTTTGGGACTCAGTTTCCCTGGGAGCAGGTTAGACTTGACCCACAGGCAAAATAAGGTATGTGGTAGACTATAGGGGGTGTGTGGCACTTTGGGGACAGTTACTAGCACAAGGCAGGAACTCGGCCCAGTGTGGCCAGTGTTAAAATTTAGAGATTTATGGAAATTCTCTTGATTTTGATTTTTGTTTAATATGTGTAAAAAGTGGTCACAGGTGATCTAGTTTAACAGTACCCACTCACATCAGTGTTCCCCAGATATGTCTCTGTCTTCCCTGGTCCAGCAGATTTGCCTGAGCCTCTGCCTCCTGCTTGTTGCAGGTACCATGAACACAGAGGGCCCCCATGTCATCAGCCCCACAGGTGCCAGCTCTCCAACCTTCCTCACAGCTCCGGCTACACCTGGGCCTCTGGTGGAGATGGCAGGCCCTGTCCCTGTGCTCATTGCCCTGGCCTGCATCTTCCTGCTGCTGGCCTCCTGCCTGCTGTTCATGACGCTCTGCAAACCAGCTGCACTGGACCCGGGCCACCGTCAGGCACGAGAGTGCATGCCACACCACCCTGCCAGCCCCAGCGAGCCCCAGCTCAGGCTCTGGAAGCGCCTGGGCTCTCTGCGCCGCTCCCTGCACAGCTTCAGGCATGGTTGGCCAACTGCCCCACGGTGTCCTCTGCCAGGCCAGGAGGATAACTCAGGTGCCACTGACTACACAGAATCTACCAAGATGTGACAGGGTGTCCACCCAGCGGCTCTGGATGGAGTCCAGCACTGCAGGCTGCAGCAGGACAGAGGTCCCAGCACTGTGGGCCTCATTCCCACCCCCCCCAAGGGCTTCCCTGCATGCCTACCCTGTGTCCTTTCTCAGAGGTGGCCAGAGGAGAGGCCCAGAATCTTGCTGCTGGCTAACAGACTTCTGGAACAAGAGACAAGCACCCAGAGCCACCCAAGTCCTTGGCCTGAGGGCAAGGACTTGGAAGCCAGGCCCTACCATTACTAGGAGCAGCAACTGGGCTCCTACAGCAGCTTTGCCCTCTTTGCAGGCCTAAAGTCCAGCTCATAGGAGTGGCTAAATGGCCAGAGGCTGTCCCATCCCTCTCCCTGCTAAATAGTATGCTCACCCACACTGGAGTGGGGTACTGTCCTGGGCCTGTTCTCTGTCTAGTGCAGAGAGACCCTAAGGATCCCTCTCCTTGGATTTCCCGCCTGCTGATCCAGCAGTAGCTAGAACCCTCTCATTGGACCAGTTGCCTGGGTGTCAGCAGGAAAGAGGGGCAAATATGCAATGAACCCTGTGATCCTGACAGCCATCTTGGCCTTCCCCCTTCCATTAGGAAGGGGCTGAAGAAGGCTTCCGAGGCTTCTGTCAAGAGTAGCAGGAGGCTGGCCACTGCTAGCACCTGGAAGTGATGTCTTCTGGACTCTGAGGATACTTCGCTGTGGTTCCATGCCTCACCCAAGGAAGGAGGTTGCTTCTCCTCAGGTGAGACTAGTCAGATCTCCCAGAACATCTGTAGGACTTAGGCCTGGACCCCATTCGGCACGCAGCTCCATGTTTGGGATGCCTATCAACCGACCAAATGCAGAACAGGCTGCTCAGAACCTCAAGTCCTAGGCCTTTCCACTCAAGACCAAGGCTAAAGGCTTTGGCTGGATCTTACATGTGAAGATTGAGGAGTGAGGGCCTGAGCTGTTTGGCTCCTGTCCCAGAGTCAGCCGAATGGGCCTCAACCCGAGGCAGCCCTAGCCGCCCCTGCTGAGACCCCCAGTGCAGCCAGCCAAGTCTTCTCAAGGTCCAAGCTCTGGTGTGAGATTCTTCAGCAGCGCTATACACTTCACTGGTTCCCAATGCCCACTGGCTATCCCTTCTATTCCCCACCCCTCCCCATCCCAGCTACAGTGCACAGTGGGATCTGGGAGATCATAGAGAGCTAGACTTTGTCTGACTTTGGCTTTAATTGATTAGATCTGGGCATCGAAGTACAAGGCCTCTGGTTTTTGTTTTGTTTTTCTTTGTAATAAGGCTTGAACACAGGGCCTGGGCCCTATCATTTAGATTTTTTTTGCTCAAGCCTGGTGCTCTTCTTGAGCCATAGCTCCACTTCTGGCTCTTTGGTGGTTAATTGGAAATAAGAATCTCATGGACTTTCCTGTCCCAGGCTGGCTTTCAACCATGACCCTTAGATCTCAGTCTGGATTATAGCTGTGAACCATTGGCAACTGGCAAGGCCTCTTGTATCAGGAGCTTGCTAGGAGTCTGTATTGCCCAGAGTTCTTCCCCTCTCTCCCGATCAAGGAAGGCTATTTTCTAAGCAGGCCCTGGTGGAGCACTGCTGAGCTGGAAGATGAACTCCGGTTTTTCAGGATGCTCCTCACAGGGTGTGGAAGGCCCTGAGATCCTGAACCTCTCCCCGAGAAGCAGAGGGGTACAGGGAAGCCCTGTATTACTCAGGGACTCCAGGATTTCAGTTTGAGTAGCACTATATGAATAGAAGCCAGTTCTCCAGGAGGTTATAGAGAGGGCAAGTCTCCTCCCCTAGGGCTGTTTCTCCCTCTCTTCCTGCTTTTTCCTCATTTCCTGGTTTACATCCCAGGCTGAATGCAGTCAGCTGGTCTCGTACTATTGTCCCCTGGCCAGCAGGCCATTCTCTTCCTGGGGGGTGGGGGTGGGAGTGGGGAGATTGTGGGAGGTGGGGTGAAGAGGGCTCTCAAAGGCCTCTGTGCCCCCAAGTTGGCTGAGCTATGGGATGGTGGCTCCTGGGCTACAGACCACAGATCCTGTGAGGGGCTCTCCAAGCCCCTCCAGAAGCTGAGGCCAGAAGGAAGGACTCTTTTAGAACCAAATTTTTTGCATCTCTGTGCTCCCTGGAGCCTCCATCTCCTGTTGTCAGCCCCTCCTGAGGCAGGCACCCTCCTGGCCTCCTGCTCTTCCTCCACTCCCAGGCCTTGGAGCCAGTCCCAGAGGGCAAGCCTGGCTTTGCTATGTTTGGCGGGCCTTGGGTGGCAATGGTGTGGAAAGCCCCTGCAGTTGGTGAAGAGAGCAATTCATTCCGTTCTCCCTCCCCACCTAGCAACAGAGGCCTGGGGCAGGAGAGCTACATTTTCAGGCTCCTCCTCCCCTTCTCCCTCTGAACTCTGAGCTGTGGCTCCTTTCTTCTTCCTCCAGTTTTCTTCCAAGAGGGGAGCCTTGGCCAAGGGGCTGTGAAAGCTGCTCTGTTTTGGCCTTCCTGGGCCCTGGCCCTCTCTCTTCAGGTCCTTTCCAGGAAAGTATGACCTCCCCTCCTTCCTGCTCTGAAAGGCCTTCTGGGGGTGGTGAGGGGCTGGGGGAGGGAGGCCAAGGCCTTTCTTGTTTTCTGGGAAGACAAGGTCTGTCCTCAGCTAACACAACCTGTTCCCCCTTTTCCCATGATGCAGTAGTGTGCCTGCCTCTCTCTTGTGCCTGCCCACCCTGTCCCAGGGGCCACCTGCCTGCACAATGCTGTGGCCCTCGGGGATGTCCTCCGGGACGCTGGCCTCATAGCTGCTCTGCAGAAAGATGGGCCGGTTGTCGTTCACATCCAGGACAGTGACAAACACAGTGGCTGTGCCTGTGTGGCGCTTGCCCACAGGACCATTATCTATGGGAAAGGAAGGACAGGTGTCAGCTGATGCCCAAGGGGCAGACTTCCTAGGCTGTATATGCTCTGGGGCACCAGAGATGGGCCCATACTCTCCAGGCTTTGTAGATCTGTAGTGACACTAACAAGAACTAATGCTTATATACCACCCTATGCCAGACAGTCTTCTAACTCACGCCATCCTTACCCTAACCCTGTAAAACAGACAGTTCCCAATGGAGCCACGCAGGCATGGGGGATGGGGATGAATGGATGGAGATCCCTGGGAACCTGTGCATGTGAATTTGGAGAAAAAAAATGTGTTTGTATCTTTGAAGATATAATTAAAGATCTTGAGAGTAAGTCATTCTGAATTTATCCAAATGGACCATACACCCAATGATAACTGACTTAGAAGGGAAGACATGCCAGGTAAGATGGTACATGTCTGTAGTCTTGTCTTCTCAGGAGGTTGAGGCAGGAATATCATGGGAGCCCAGCTTGAGACCAATATAACATAATGAGAGCTTGTCCCAAAGAGAGAAAGAGTAAGAGAAGGGAGACAAAGCCAGGTGCTGGTGAGGCTGAGATCTGAGGACTGTGGTTCAAAGCCAGCCAGGGCAGGAAAGTCCATGAGACTCATCCCCAATTAAAACCAGAAGTGGCGCTGTGCCTCAAGCGGTAGAGCCTTAGGGCTGAAGAGCTCATGGACAGCGCCTAGGCCCAGAGTTAAAGTCCCACAACCCACAAAAAAAGAAAGGTGGAGATGCATGGGGCCTCCATGGAGGGCAGAGCAGGGAGCCAGCACACAGGTAGAGCCGGCCAGAGTAGAGCCATGAGGCCTGATGGCAAGCCCTGATGTTGACTCCACATATACCTACAGCAGGTAGACTGGATCTATGAGCTTTATTGCTGAGGTCATTTTATTTTCAAATTTGCAACCCAGAGAGTCCTGATTCAAAGGCGTCCTAATGACACTTTCTCTAGGAAACCTTCCTTAACTCTCCTCTTCCACATTTCTGCCATCCTTTGTGCCTGATGCTCCTCTGCCATTCCTTCTCTCTCCCATCCTGCTTGTTTACCCCAATGTACAGTGATTATTCCACTTGCCTGTCTCAACTTTCCATCCCAGCATCTCACTCATATACAACATACAGCACAAGCCTCATTCCCCCCACCCCCATCCCCCGTTTGTGCTCAAGAACACCTGGTGGACATCCGTGACCTTTCCTCCACCGGCCTCTGGGCAAAGGTCAACCTCTGGATTCTAGCTGAGCCCCTGGAAGTCCCCTTTTGCTCCCTATACAAACTCTAAAGGGAACAACTAGGCTGGCAGTGCACAAGGCACTGGCACGCACCGATGGCTTCCAGGATGAGCGTATATGCGGCCGTGGTCTCTCGGTCCAGGCCCACCACCGTCCTTACCACAGCATCACGGTAGCCCACGCTGAACTTCCCGTCCACGTTCCCCCCTGCAGGCAAGACAGAAGGGAGCTGTGGCCAGGCAGCAGAGCTCTGGGCTGGGGGTGAAGGGAGGTGCATCCAACTCTGCTCCTCAGTCAGGAGATGCCCTGTGAGGGCACATGACAAACCCCTTTTACAGATGGAGAAACAGGTCCAGGAGATATGCTTCACCCAGCATGAGCTGAGGGGCTCTGATGAGGGTGCAGCCTGCCTGGGCTGATATGTCCAACATTTACGGAGCACATATTGTATACCAGGTGCTCCATGAGGACCAACTCGTTTGCCCCACACAGAGAGAAAGAGCCCTGCCCACCTGAGCCTGGGTCTGTTTTCTCCTGCCTGTCCTGAAAAAGTGGCTGAGGAAGGGGTTAGGGCTTTTCTATGAGGCTGAGGACTTTGGGGTGAACTGTGCATTCCCCAGACCTCTCATCTTGGGATGGGGATTGGGCTGAGGACCACAGTTCTGTAAGTGGGGATTCATGCAGGCACTCATAGTGGAGATAGGAACAGGTATGTCTATCCTCCTGGGGTAGAGCCAACAAGGGGCCTCCCTGGGACTCCTGTGGGAGACCCCTCTCCTGAGAGTTGGCAGCAGTGCATTGTTCTATCAGCAGAGGGCACTACCACATTAGGTTTGGGACCAGGGCTTGCTGAGTTCCTTGCACAAAGTGAC